ATACCCCAGGCCTATTCTTACAGCGGGACCTGGACGCTTTGACTCCCCCTTTCTACCCGTGTGGCACCTTAGTGCTCCCGGTCCTGTTCCACGGACCGTCTCCTCTTTCCCCGTTACGGGGGAGGGGGGGAGGGGGGTGTCTGATATTGACACGTCCCCTCTAGCCCCTTACCATTTGCGCAGGTGCGCCGGTGTGCCACGGGGGGCTCTGCGTTGCCGCCCACCCCTTTGGCTGCCGTTCCCTCCCGGCCGTGGGTCCGGAGGGTTGATCTCCCCCCTCCTTTCCCTTTCCGCGTGCTCCTTTTGCGCCATCACGCTCTCACAATAGAGCGCGAAGGCATCCCACGCCTCCTCCCGTTCTGTGACCGCCTTCACTACGGCCTGTAGCGAAAGGTCTCCTCCTATTTTACTTGTGAGGACACGGCGCTCCTCTTCCCACGCTGGACAGCTTTCCAGCGTGTGTTGCGCCGTGTCCCTCACCTCATCACAGTGGTGACACCGCGGATCGGGTTCCTTTTGGATCCTCTGCAGGTACTCACCGAAGCACCCGTGCCCGGTGAGCACCTGCATTGTTCTGTACGACGCCCGTGTCCATGCCCGGTCCACCCAGGCATCCAAGTGAGGGAGGATGGCCTGGACCGTCCTTTGGCCTGGCCGTCTCGGGTCGGCCAACCAGGTCCGCCACTCCTCCCTCACTTCCTTCTTTATTTGGAGGCTGAGGAGCCTCCTCCCCCTCTTTGGTACCGGGATACCCCTCGCCCTACGCTCTGCTACCTGCTCATACACCTGAGCGTGCGCACGGGCGTTCATCATTATTGGGGGCATCTCGGCCATCAATGTGGCTGCCGCGTTGGAGATAGTTCTATACCCCCTGACCGCCCTGATCGCCATGCGGCGCTGGGTCTTGTTAAACACCGCGATGGCCTTCCTGTCCTTTGTCAGGGCGGTCGGGGGGGGCGGGGCCCCATATAGGGGCCCCGTATAACGCGATTGAGCTTATCACGTTCGCGTATAGCCTCCTTACCCTCCCACGCGGGCCGCCCAGGTTGGGCATCAGGCGCGACAAAGCACTCGCTGCCTTGTCCAACCTGGGCGTCAGCCGACTGAGGTGCTCCCCAGACCTCCAT